GGGATTGACAATCTCTGTCACTTGTGGTAATGATGTATCTTATCTTCATCTACACCAGGGAATATTTCACTTAACATCATGTTTGCTTGTTCAGGTGACTGGGCTGGGCAGCTCTGCACTTTAACCCCGACTGACCATGCTTTGCCTCTGCCTCACAGATACTTTGACCAGGGTTTGATTCACCATCACTACATTCATGCTCTAGAAATAAAATTGTAAAAATGATGCTTAAAATTTTATCTAATTTCATCTTTCAGTACCAAGTTGGATATGGAAGTATAGGCTACTATATTCAGAATGAGGTATTCATTAAATGGATGTACACATCACATTGAGATGCAAGACTTACGTATGATATCTACAACAGTATACATACCAGTACTAATAAAAGAAGGTCCAGTTGCTAATGCATCACCATTATCTATATCATTTATCACTGTTAGACATTCGAATTCTTGAAAATAAATAAATAGATCTGTAATTTTTTTGTAAATTAATACATAGTAAATTAGTAAATATAAATATTAGTGTTATTGTGAAATATAAAATAAAATAAATTTGGAAGAAAGTTACGTTTATTTACATAAACACTCATCACTTGCTTAAAAAATATTTTTGCCACAATAACAGTAACCACTGGCCATGTGGCATAATATGTAAACCATGATCTGAAACGTTAACAGTACACAAAATTACAAAAAAATATATACATGCAGTGTGCTCTATATATTTTAGTGTTTGATTACCACAACAAATAGAAATACTCTGAATTACTACAACAACACAAAAATAAGGAAATTAAATAAAAATATATAATTCCTAACAATGTATTATCATGGCATGCACAAGTGTAATAGGTGATATCCACAGTCACTGATCTGACAACCATTACAAATCACGATCGTGCAGTCGGCACATGGCTACAGAAACTTTTATTGAAATTATGAAGTATGAAAACACAAAAAATGAGAAATTAAACTAAGAATATATATATATTTGACAATTTTAGTTTACACAGATCCCGGACACGGACGAACAGGGTGGATAAACGATGTTTACATGCACTGACTGTGACAAAACTCTCATCTCGATCTATCATCAACTCACCCATTTTATTTATTGCTATTATGCAATCAGGCATTACAAAAACCATTATCAAAAACGGCAACAAGTCATGTTATTTTTTATAAAAAAATTAATTTACCTTCATTCCGTGTTTTTTTATCATTCCACAATCAAAGAGTGATCGCTGATCGCTTGCTGGGTAGCGCCATGTTTTTTCAATGTACTAAATATAGGTCATACGTCACATGACCAATCAAAACGTTGCTTACAAACCAAATTTTGGTTCGACGAATCACAGGGCGCGTTTTAATCCACATGGTTTACTTCCTACGTTCAGATGTCCTTTTAACACGGCAAAATCGTGTTCGCTACGAGTACGCGTTTTTGGTATGTATCTATCACTTATTTTTATTAATATTACTCGTCTAATTTCTATGAAATTTGTTATTATTCATTGCATTTTCATTAATCGTCAAATTCCCCCAATTTCCGGGTCACACTTACAGCCGGCGAAATTATCACAGCCGTATGATTTCGCCGGCTGCCGGCTTCTAATGACAGCCCTGTTACAATGAAAAGAGGGTAGGCGGATTGTAGAATAGGGTGTTTAGTTGATAATCTTTCAAAAAGGTTGCAAAACGTGTGTATATCCTTTAAATGTAAATGTGTAGGAGAAACCAAACACGGTTTAGGCAGGTGGCTGCACATTATTTGCAGGAATCCATTGTGTCCACACCATTAATTATTTACCTCTTGGTAAACAACATGGAAGGATTTGGGATGTAAACAGTTAATATGCTTCAGGTAGGAGTCAGTTAAAATATTATTTAATTGTTCCTCAACTTTTAATTATTTTAATGTTTACATAATTTTTAAAATTGTATTATTGATTTGTTATATTAACTTCTGTTATATTGAGAGGTCTTTGACAATTGAATGATTAGGGTTATCCCAGAGAACTTTCTCAGCAGCCAGAGCTTTTCAGATTGACAAGGAAAACTCTAAATGTCATGCTGAAAGTCAATCAAGAGATGCCAAGAAACGACGCCTTGAATTAAGAGAACATAACATGTATGACCATGACGCACGAGACACATACTCGACGAGCATTCAAATTTCAAAATGTAATAATTATTACGATTTTTTTTTTCAAAAGCATGATTTAAATAGAAGTGCACTTGTAAAGAAAAAAAAATATTCATCTACCTAACCGCTTGCTACTGTAATTTGTGCACAATGTGTTTCCATGATTTATACATGTTGACAAACATATACGAATTAATATAAATATAATCAAACAATATAAAGTAAGATCTTCAGTTCATTTGTTACATTTTCAACCATCCGTGACATTGACTATATTCCTGCAGCGCAGCTTCTTCCAATTCTTCAACCAGTTAAAAAGTCATTAGTTCCTTGGGTTTATTTTGATTTGGAAACCACTGATCTGAGTAAGTTATTCATAGTTTTTAATTGTCATGCGTTTTACACTTGCTGTATACATAGCTATGGGTCCCATATCAAACACGGTGTGATGCAATGACTATCTAGCTTTATTATTTATTAAGGCATGACTGTCTTTTATAGAAATTTATAAAATATTTATTCAGACGTAAATTCATAAAACATTTATAAATATTTTATATATTAAACACATTTATGCCTTCATGAAATTCATACTATACAATGGATTATCAAAAATAAGTCTTATTTACCGTATCTGCTCTATTAGAAGTACAGTTACAAATGAAGTACACATAAAATAAAAATTGCAGTTATTGTATGTTGGATCATTAAAATATGAATTATTTTGTGTTGGGGGAGGGGTGATTTACATATTAAGCAATTGTGCTACTGACACTATAGCAAATATGGTGTTTATAATTATAACGCCTTTAACATATCACACATGAGGACATATCATATTCGTCATAAATCTTATCAAGGCATTCTGTTTGTTCTTGCAGGTCGCACATCACATATCTTACAGTTGGCTGCCATTGGTCCGTCTTGTCAGCTGGATTTATATAGAAAACCAAAAAAATTGTCCTGAAGCATCTGCAATCAAAAAATGAGACAACTGCTGAATGTATTCCAATTAAAGAGGCTTTAAAAAAAATTGTTGAGTTTCTTTCTTCAAGTGAAACTATTTTAATAGGCCACAATATTAGAAGTTTTGACTCGTGTTCTATTTAACGCAGTGGTTTCTAATAAGATGGAAGATAGTTTTGGAAGCCTTACTAAAGACTTATTTTTAAGCAATCACACCCTGGTTGTCAAAGTTATAAACAGGAGAATTTGGTATCACAATTCACAGGATGTAAATATAATGCCCATGATGCAATTGCATATGTCCAATCACTAAATCTCTGATACAGATTGTGCCATTAGTAGTGACCCACGATCTAATTTGACACGAAGCACCACAACATGACGTTCACGTACAATTTCGTATGCAAAATGAGCACAGAGTACATTTTGTCATGATATTGCTCGGTCAAGTTTTGCCGTGACCTAGTTTCGGGCCAAATTGATACGTATATATCTGATAAAAATGCACATTTACACATTCTTGTGTGTTTAACTAGACCTGCATAGTTTTGAATTCTTTTTAGTTTGTCAACAAAATAGACGATAACCTGTGGCTGCGAAAGAAATCTTGAGCAGTTTTATAATTCTTATTTTCTCTACCCGACGTCTGTGAACGACCTCAATCCAATTTTCAAAATTGCGTGGAACCTAGTTGATACTTTGTAGCAAGTTTTACTATAAATGTGAACAGTGTCGCCACTGATGTCGTTCTTTCGTCGTTGGGATCCGTGGTACATCGTGGCATGGCCATTCCAGGATGTAAACTCGTTCTTACAATTAAATAAATACAACATTGGTGTATTAGGCCCATTTTATATGATATTTCAATCGTGTGCATGCGACGCAAAACATAAGGGCCTGGCGTAGAATTGGAAATTACTGCAAATAAACAAATGTCCAATTCGGGAACAGGATAAGTTTTTTTGTTTTTTTAGCCAATCAGAATTCATCTTCCGAGCCAGTGCAGATCAGCCGTATATTTGGTTATTGATGAAATAGTAGGGCGCCACCAGACGGTCTGGCTTAGCAAGTGCGTCGTGCTTCTTCCATGAAGTTGACGCTGATTGTGCACAAAGGAAGCCGCTCATCCCGCCATTGGATGACGGCACATCGTGTATGTGGTGTTTACAAAGGACGTGGAAATGATCCGTGGTACATCGTGATCAATAATAAAATGATTGGTTGTCCAACTGTGGGCGTGTCTTTTATTTCTGTGCTAAATGTACAACACCAAAGTCCCGCCATTTATTTTTCATGGTTGTTCGACCATAGTCATCTGCACCAGTATCACTATCACGAGTTTTAAGTTTGGTTTACTATGTTGGCCGCTCGACACCACCGCCTCTCTCTAGGTAGCGACGCCCAACTCGGCGTCCC